TTGGGTGTGTGTGTGTGTGTTTGTGTGTGTGTGTGTGTGTGTGTGTGTGTTTGCGCGTGCATGCGTTTCTCACATGAGCTTGCCACACGCGTAGATTTGTGTAACTGCACCATCTCTGTCCCCAGGTTCAGGTGTATCTATCATTTTCGTGTTCTTTTTCTCAGAGAGGACCCTCTGGACAACCTTCGGATCCTGTACACCTTCACATACCCCAAGACGGCCCCCGCTACTGGTTGCACCCAGGAGCAGCTGCATGAGGCTGAGGAACTGCTCTCTCCAGCTTCCCCAGCTCTGTCCATCCCACCTCGGCCCAGAGCCCACTGTCCTGGCTCACCTTTCCCTGAGGTGACAGATGAGGAAGCTGATACCAGACAGTGGCCCGAGGCCACCTGGCCAGGATGAGACAGAGGCTGCTGCACCTCTGTACCAGTCCTGCTCCCCTTCTCCAGACCCCACCCACCTTTGAGGTCTGACTCCAATCTCCTCTTCTGGGAAGGCCTCTGGGACACCCCCCCCCCAGCTCATTGACCTCTAGGCTCCCCTCCTCTTCTGCCCTCCACGGGGCTGGATGTCTGTGCAGAGTCCCTGATGGCTTAGGGGTAAGGTGTGTGGGCCACGACTCAGAAGACCTGGGCTTTGGGCTGTGTGAGCCCAGGCAGGTGATGTCCCCTCCCTGATCCCATGGTAGCGTCAGGTCCTAGCCCGGAGCAGGGCAGGAGACAGTGGAAAGGAACCCGGGTGGTGGCCAGGGAGTGGCTAAGAGTGTGGACTCCGGAGTGCATGGGACTCCACTGCATGAGTTTGGCAAGTTGCTCGATCTCTGAACCCTGGCTTTGACATTGCAAAATGGGAGCCAAGGATTTTGGCCTGTTTTCTCATCTGTGAAACAGAGCTCAGGATTATATCCACACGGCAGGGTAGACAAAGGCAGAGTATTTGGAACCCTGCCTGGAGACTCAGAGCCCATCCAGCCTGGGAGGTGGAGATAGCTCGAGACAGCTGTCAAGGACAGGGTCCCCACAATGGCAGACCCGGGACCTGACCCAGAACTGGAAGAGTCCTCTGGGCTGTTGGTAAAACTGTACTCTACTGGGCAGGGGGGAGACTCTGAAGCATTCCTTACCACCCAGCCCCTTCCGCCTGCTGCTGACCCCTGTGAGCTGTGCTCAGCCCTACCCAGCCTCACTGGCCCTCACTCAACGGTAGGGTCACCACCCCCAGCCTCCATTTGGACCCCAACACCAATGCCCTCCATCCTCAGCCCCTAATCCATGTGGGGGCTCACCCGGGAACCCCCCCAGGACACTCTGATCCCATTTCCCCTCCCCAGCCCTCCAAACCAGGTCTCTGCAAGGCAAGGACAGCAGAGGCCTCCACCTGGATGGTGGTTACCAGGTGCTCAGTAGTACGACAGTCACACGCATCTCACTCTCATGCCACCCCTGACGTAGGTCCTACGATCTCCCCATTTCACAGATGGGGACACTGAGACATCGCAAGGTTACTGGCTTGTGGGGTTCTCACAGAGGGCAGTGGTGGGGCAGGGCTGACTCTGGCGATCAGTGTGTTGGTTCGTTTATGTCATAGTGTCATAGCAGGGTGTTTGCCCAGAGCCTGGCACACAATAGTAGTGCGGCACTTTAGAGTTGGCCAGAGGCATCCCCTGTGCTGCCTCCTGTGAGGGTCCCCACCATCTGCTGGGACCTGGGCTCCCAGGCTCCCTCTGTGATGAAGGAGGGAAGGGGTGCAGCAGGCTGGGTCAGCCCCAGAGGCCCTGAGGAAGCAGAGCCAGCCCCACAGTGACAGTGGGACTCTGCACTTCCTGCCTCTGAGTTGCTGCCCCACCAATGGACACTAGGTCCTGGCCACAGACTCACCTGGCTCGCCCTTGGGCCCCCGCAGCCCGTCGTGGCCGTCCTTGCCAGGTGCCCCTGGCAGGCCTGGCATCCCTGGGATCCCGTAGCAGCTTGGGCTGGCCTGGCCCCTGAGGGGCACAACAAGCAGGAGCAGCAGCAGGTGAGCCCCAAGGGGGAGCTCCACATCCATCCTGGGGAGGGAGCTGGGGCAGTGCGGAGTTAGCCCCGTGCCCCTTCCCACCCCCCCACCTGCCCGGCCTCCTCACAGCCCCTGGACCCCACCTCCAGCAGCCCCTCACCCCTGAACCCTCTGAGGATGGATGGTGGTCCCTGCCACAGTTCAGAGAGAGAGCAGGAAGGAACTGCCTTCTTCCACACTTGGGCAGGGTCCCGGCCTCACCTGGGTGTGGGGACTTCTGTCCGGGTCACAGCGATGCCCTCGGCTCCGCGTGCCCTGTCCCAACAGGAGGACACCGTGTCAGAGTGGACAGAGCGAGGGTGGCCCAGAGCAGTGCTGGCCCCTCCCCCACTGCTCCCCATCCCACATCCCCTTTCCCCCATTTCCCTGACTCGACACTTTTTGGGGGGTTCTGAGCCAGGCTGACCGCAGCAACACCCATCCACCCCTCCTCACTCCCACTCCGGTCATGTGTCTTAAATGGGGAAATGTCCGCTGCCTGGGCATGTGTTTAAGAGTGTGCGCGCGTGTGTGGGCAGACACAGGCCCAGGGCACAGATGCCCGCCCCCCAGTCAGGTCGGGCTCCCTAATGCCCAGCCCTATTGTTCCTGGGGCCCAGTTATTTCACAGCCTTCTCAGGAGGAACTTACAACCCCCCTGTACAGATGAGGAAACTGAGGTGGGGAGGTGCCAGCCCTTTCTCCAAGTCCCACAGTGAGGTCCAAAGCCTTGCTGTGACCCTTTGCTCAGCTGCTCCCACACACGGCCTCACAAGCACTTGTCAAGTGAGCCCTTATTCCGGGAACATCTGTGTGTCTATTCAGCCCTCCTCCCAGCCCGGCCTCCCCTTACCAGGAGGCCTTCAGCAAATCCCTCGGGTGGTGCACTGGGGGTCCAGGCACCACATGGCAGTGTTGGAGTCCTTGTCGCCCTTGACGTCCCATCTCCCCTCCAGTGGAGCCAGCCTCTCCCCATGGGTTCTCGGGATGGAGGAGGTGTTGGCTCTGGAGTGCTTCAGCCTCCCCTCCTTCCTGCTCCCTGCACTCAGGGGAGTGGTGTGGCTGCCCTGAGCACCTGACAGAGCCTCCTCTGTCAAGTAGGGGCCTCAAATAGCCCCTCCCTGGGCCCAGCAGGACGCAGGGTGTGAGATGCGCGCAGTGCCTAGCCGTCGTCCATCCTGGCCAAGTGACCTCGGGGCGCGGCCCTTCCTGCCATCTGTACCTGAACCTGTGTCACAGGGCTGCCGACAGTGGGGTGGGGCCAAAGATGTGAACGAACTTGGTCCTGGGCACCCACACTGGCTGGAGTGATGGGAAGAGGAGAGGGTGGATGTTGCACTGTGGGGTGGGAGTGACCTGGGTTCTCGCCTCCATCCTCACCTCTTTTGTGCCTAGATGTGACTTGTCCAGCAGGTGGCAGCCTTGGCCCACACTCAGCCCTCCCTGCCCCACCCACTTGGCCCAGCTCCCCGCTAGGGCTGGGCAAAGGAAGGTGGGAAAGGTGGTGTTTAGGGTAAGGAGAAAGCTGGGCGCTTACTGAACCACTATCCCTGTATCTCTTGCCACTTAAGGAGCCTCCACTCCGAGTACCATTGCGGTTGAAAGGTGACCCGTCTGTTTCCAGCAGTGTGGCCGTGGGCAGTGTCTCCTCTAAGCCTCAGTGTCTGTCCTGCTGGGATTCAGGGCATCTGAGGCACAGTGGGGTCCTGCTCACCGTGGGCTCCGCAAATCTGGCTGCTCATGTTCTGGGAGGGCAGGGGATGCTGGGGTCGAACTGCCCCCCAGAAAGGAGCCAAGGGGCTGGGAGGACCCTGCGGTGCCCTGGGCTGTGGGGATGCACTCCCTCCCGGGCCCCTTCGCTTCTTCCTGACCCCAGAGTGTCTTAGCAGGACCGGGGCAGTGGTGGGAGCTGTGCATGCTGGGACTCCACGACGGGGTCTGTCCCTGTGTCCCTGGGGATGCCCGGTGGGAGTGGAGCATCTGGCAATGGTGCTGCAGAGAACAGAGGACCTGTAGGGCTTGTGCATGTTGGGGTGTCAGGGGTGTGCCTGGCACATGGGTCTCGTGGGATGCTTGTGCGCGTGTAACGTTTGCGTGGCATGTGGGAGAGGGGGAGAGAGAGCACATAATCCAGATGGCTCATGAGTGCACCTTCGATGTCTGGGGCAGGAGGTACACGGCACGGCAGCTTGTGCCGCCCTGAATGTGTGTGTGTGAGTGTGTGCGTGTCTGGAGATGTAACGAGTGTGTATCTCCGAGGGTGCGCACAGGTGTGTGTGGAGGGTATGTCACTGGGCCCGTGCTCCTGGGGGGGAGTGGATGAGTCTCAGCTCAGGAATGGGGGACCACGTGAATCTCAAGGGAGAGGGGGTGTGTGAGTGGTGTGTGATTGTGTGTGTCCATACGTGCAGCACAGAGATAAAAGGCACAGGACATCGGATATTTTCAGGATGGACCTCCTGGCCTCTTCATGTTCTGCACAAGAAGGACATGGCAGGCCTTGTTGCTTTTGAATGGCTTCCAGATGGGGCAAGTGGGGACCCGGGGAAGCACATGAGTGTCCAGGGTCCTCCAGTTCCTGGCCTGAGCTGGATGCCAGCAGGCCACTGACACAGCAGCCCCAGCCTCCACGCCTGCCCAAGTGAGGACAGCTGGATGCCCTTGGGTCAAATGCTTCCCCTCTCTGATTCCTGCCCCTTCCCCACTAGCGTGGGAAAAGCACCTGAGTGACAAATCGAAGCCCTGACCCTGACTCTGGCCTGCAGGCCCTTGGTGGCCCTGTGAGGGAGGCGCCATGATTAGCCCCACTATACAGATGTGGAAACTGAGATCAGAGCAGTTACTCCAGATACACACGATCTGCCAGCTGCTAGATGGCAGCAGCTAGATTTGAGCGGGGGAGTTAAGGCTCTGGGTATCCGCTAAATGCGTCTTGTGAAATGCTGAAGGGGGCCACCCGTTCGGCACCAGCAACGGTCCCCTCATACCTCTTGCCGGATGCCCCGAGTAGCAAGTACACTTGAAACCCAGAAGACAGACGAGGGCCTTTATTTCAGGAAGGGCTGTGGAGGGTGCAGAGGTCGAAGGTCCTGGGTAGGTGGGACCCAGCCTCGGGCCTTGGGTGCCTAGAGCAGTAGCATCCCATTCTGCAGAACAGAGGAGCCTGGGAAGCGGGGAGGAAGGAGGCCAGGGGGTGGTGGTGGCCGTGGGGGCAGTGGCGGCAGGCAATCCCAGCTCAGGCGGACGGGAAGATGAGGAAGCCGCTGAAGATGCTGTCGGCCTCGGGGCCCTGGTAGATGCGGCCCTTAGCAGGGTCCTTCTCCACCCAGACCTGGTCGCCCTGCTGCAGCTGGAACACGGTGCCGCCCGACACTACCTGGAGCTGCTCCTTGCTATGGATGTCGCAGAAGCCCAGGGAGCGGCGGAGCTGGCCCTGGGAGGAGGACACGATGGCCAGGCAGATGTCCCACTTGGAGACCACCTGGAAGGTGAAATAGTAGAAGCCGGGTACGGAGCACAGGAAGTGTCCCGACTGGCTCTGGTAACGGCCTTCCTGGTTGGTGATGACCGTGTCGAAGATGACCACGTTGCTGCTGCTCGCCGGGGGGTTCCGCCTAACGGCCGAGAAGGCGGGTCGGGGCTGGTCCCTGATGTTCCCTGGGTTGCCCTTCATGCCCCTCGGTCCTAAGGCACCTTGTTCCCCCGGGGGCCCGGTGGGCCCTGGGTAGCCCACTTTGCCCGGGTTTCCTGGAGGCCCAGGCTTCCCCTGGTCTCCTTTGAGGCCTCGGATGCCCGTCCGGATGCCAGCGGCTCCTGTGGGGAGAGACCAGGGGGGAGGTGAGCATCCAGGGCCTGCTGGAGCGCAGGGGAATCACTGGGTTAAGAAGTTGGATCTGACTGGCTGTGGGACCTCGAACATGTTTCTCGGCCTCTCGGAGCCTCTGCTCTACCTGTAACGGAAAACTTGTGAAGAGGCACCTGACAGTGTCAGGTTGGGGGATACCGGCTGCGCCCCCCGCTGATCCCTTCTTCAGGCTTAGGGACCATGTGGATGCCTGGTGCTAATCAGTGCGCCTATGTTTGTGGACCCTTCTGTTTTGCGTGGACTAGGAGGTTCAGGATCACATCACAGTCTTTGCTCTCTGGCATAAACTTCTCCCTTTCCCATCACCTGAGGCTTTTTTCTAGAATGAGACAGTTTCTGAAGACTAAAAGGGGTGGGGAGGGGGGCAGGAACAGGGTTAGGGGTGCTGGAAGGAACCCAAAAGGAGAGTTGCAGTTCATCGATCCTTCTCATGCCAAGCAGGGTTATAGCTCCATTTTACAGATGAGGAAACTGAGGCTCAGAGAAAGTCAGTAACTTGCTTGAGGTCACCCAGCAAGGCAGGGTCTCTGGAGTCTGAAATCAACAGAACAGTATGCAAAGGCTGGGTGTGGTTTCCAATCTTTCACATCCATGGAAGGAGGTGGTTCCTTTTCCAGAGGAGGAAGGAAAATCTGAGCAGGAAGCAGATATGAAGGGGCTGGGGCTGGGGCTGGGGAGAAGACTGGACCTCTCAGCCCGGGGCCCAGTGCAGACCGGAAGGGCCTTGGGTGGGGGCCCCAGAGAGATGCTTACCCGGCTCTCCCCGTTCTCCCTTGAGGCCAGGCCGCCCAGGTCGCCCCGGTTTTCCTGGGAGCCCATCCTTCCCGTTGGGCGCTCGACACACGTCCTGGGTCACTGCAGAGGCCAGGATTACGGCCAGCACACAGACCACCAGCCACCCCCGAGGGGCTCTCATGGTGTCCCTGCGGAGACACAGGCGGGACCGGGCAGCCTGAATGTCACATGCACCTCGCACACGCGCATCACACACACCTGCCCCTCCCCCGGTGTGTGAGCACACAGGAGGCTTCCACGGCCGCTCACTATCCAGCACTCGGGGTGGGCGGCCAGCCAGGATGGAAACTCACACCGCACACTCACGGCGTGCAGGTGCGCACACTCCTGGACACACGCTGGTCCCCAGGTAGACTAGACCTCCCCCCTCCCTCACCGACACGCACACTCGGCAACTCCCACACACCATCGATTACTGAGAACAAATATTTATCAAGCACCGGCTCCTTGTTTAATCAACACCCTCCCTTCCGTGTGTGTGTGTGTGAGTGTGTGTGTGTGTGTGTGTGTGTGCGCGCGCGCGCACACGCGCGCGCATGGAAATTCTGATGCGTCTGCTCGCTCCTGGATGGCTCGGCCCCTCCAGTCTCCACCCAGGGATGGACGCTGGCTGCCCCTCAGGTCTCCTCTGCTGGGTCTCACTGCTGGCCTTTTCCAGATCTCCCTCCCCCGTCAGGCTCTGACCCCTTCACTCAGCCATTCGGACTCCCCCACGGATACGGTCCCCACCCCGCCTCTGTGTCTCAGAACCGCCTAGCACTCCCCCGCTGCCTGCCTCCGTGGTCCAGCCCCGGCCAGCGTCCCTGTTCCCAAGCCCTTCCTCTCAGGCTCTGGCCTCACCTGCCTCCGGGGTCCACTCCAACTGGACTCAGCTCCTGTCCTTCGCCAGGGACCCGGATGGGCAGCCCAGCGGGGCCAAGTTTCACATCCCTCCCCAGGTCCTTCCCCTTCTGCGCTCCGCCCCGAACAGAACTCTCCAGGGAACTTCTGAGCAGACCTCAGCAAGATCCGGACAGGGAACATCCGACGGGGCCGCAGCTGTGGTGGGGGCAGGGTAGGGTGGGCAGCCGGTGTGGGGGAGCGGGTGGGGAGGCGAAGGGAACATCAGGGTGGAAGGAACCACCTTCCAAGTCGGTAACGCGCAGGCCTTCTTCAGGATTATGAAAGTAATGTGTGTTTGTCACCAAAAGTTTGGAAAACACAAAAATGGAAGAAGCGCGCTTTGGGGAGGAGAAAGGAGAACGGCAGTTCATGTCCAACTTGTCATTTCCTAGCTGCACATCTTGGGGAAATTACCTAGCCTCTTGGGCCCTCAGTTTCCTGATCTGTAAAATGGGAACAACAGATCTTACTGTGCCGGATTATTACAATCTCTTAATGCTATACACATGCAAAACACCCGCGGAGCCCTCAGTCATCTGTCACCCTGAGAGGGCTGCTTGGTTAATGTTAGAGTGGGTCGCCGAGCTGCACTTACTCTCACCTACGGGGAGCTCATTACCTATCGGCACGTGCATTTCAGCACGGCCTGTGTAGACTCTGAGGACCTTTTTCTTTCTGCTGAGTGAGTCTGTCTCACCCAAACTGGAAGCCAATGGGTGACCCCATCTTTGCTACTCCCCCACCTCCTCTCCAGGACCAGGAGATTAGGAGAGCTGGAATCTAAGGGCTCTACTACACACAACTCACCATGTAACTCAGATCTCAGTTTCCCTACTTGTAAAGTGGGAGTGACGCCCAATCTTCTCACTGACCTTTTATAGGATTATAGGGATGTATGAGGAAGTTTATACCGTCAGACACCAACTGAGAAAAGTTATCACTACGAACAATGCCTGTGTGACCTTCGGCAAGTTGCTTAACCTCTCTGAGCCTCTCTTTTTGTCTGCCAAGATGGAGAGCAGGTGGGAGGCCGGCAAGTTGCCCAGTGGCCTCCAACACCCCCTACGGAGTCTACCTTCATGTCAATACTGCTTCCCCATAAGAAGAGTTGAAACAGGACATGCCAGGACCTGAAGTGTTGGACCTCCCCAATTTTATTAATGAAAGAGCTAAGGACCAGAGAGAGAAAGGCTTGCTCAAGGTCACACAGGAAGGCACAGATATGAAAAAATTTTTACATATACCTACGGGGTGGGGAGAGAGCCAGTCAAAACTGATCACAAGAATAATTCTGGAATATTCACACAACCGCTAAAATTAAATACAAAACTGGTTAATGTTCCATAGGGCAAAGCTGGAGTTATAGTCTCTAGCAGAAACAAATCATTCACATCGCTATTAGACAAAAATACTTTATAATTTATCAGTTTTCTACCAGTTCAGAGGTATCTTTACAGTCTGAGGCCTAATCAATAGTAAATAATAAATCCAGCAAAGTGACGTCCCCCCCAGAGTGTTGGATGACCCTTAAGAGGGCTCATTAGATGCAGCACGAACTTGACTTTGAAAGGACACCAGTTATCTATTTGTCTTATTTCCAAGGATTGGATGGTTTTACTTATCAGGCTGTTGCAAGAGTATAAACACTCCCCAGGAAGGAGACAGGTGGTCGACAGACAGGAATGCACATATCAGTGGTGTGAACAGTCAGAGGGCCAGCGATGCCCTGTGAATGTCCCAGGGACACCTGCAGCTCTGGGCAGGGGGTGGGGTGGATGCACCCTCCCATTCCTCCCCAGCTCAGACTCATCAAGGGCAGCCAGGAGGTGCAGGCCGAGGCCCTGGGTTCCATCCCCAGTACAGAAAAAAAAAAAAAAAAAAAAAAAAAAAAAAAAAAAAAAAAAAAAAAAAGCCCTTGGGGGAAAAAAGAAAATCTCAGGACAGTGCCATGTTGGAGAGCACATCACGGCTTGTGCAGCAGCCCCATGCTGTCGCTTCAGGCTGTGACATTAGAACAGACATCTTCTTCGGCTGAGAACCAGCTGGCTAATGTCAATTGGCCCCCTCCCCAACACACCCACCCACAAAAGCATTAAAGCTGTGAAAGATCGAGACTCACTCAGAATGAGCTACTTGAACCAACAGCGCCCCCCTAGGGGCTGAGGCCAACGTGGGGACTGCAGGTCTCCCTCGTCCTTGTTAACTCCAGAAACAGGCTCAGGTGAGCGCCTGGGCTGAGGGCTTCTGCCCTTACCTTATTTTAATTGCTGTTTCTAGCTCTCTGAATCATATTAGGCAAAGTGCTGGTAGTCAAAGGTGTATACAATGGGATCCTGAGATTCTTAAGAGTTCTTACTTTAGGTTTTAAAAACTTGATGGAGCAGGGAGGGTATATCTCAGCGGTAGAGCACTTGCTTAGCATGCTGGAGGCCCTGGGTTCCATCCCCAGGAGCACACACAGAAAAAGAAAGGAAAATGGAGGTATAATGTGCAGACCTCTGGGCCCAGTTGTGCAGACCCCATATGCACCTTGTCCCCCAACCCCGCATCTGAGTGCCCAGCAAATGGCCCGAGCCGCCTTCCTCGGCCGTGCTCCCCTCTGCACCCCCAGCCTGCTACTCTCCTTTCTCTCCACTTTGGCTGCTTCTGCCCACGCTGCAGGAGCCACAGCTAAATGGAAGCACACGCTGTGTCTCTTTGGCCCTCTCTGGCTTCCTCTGCCGAGCATGCTGGTGACACTGCCTGCATGGTCGCATGTGTTGCTTTGCTGTGTGTTGTGAAAGGCATTCCGTGTGCATGAAGATCACGTTCATTTGTCCCGCCCCCTGCCCCTGGGGTGGGCAGCTGCTGAGAGCTCTCTTGTATGAGTCCACTGCCTGCCCTCCCTGTGACCATGTGTGCAGCTCTTGGCTGCAGTGCTGACACCACAAAGAGGGCAGAGGGTCCGCTCCAGCCCCCTCCCTGGAAGGCAGCGTGGTCTGTCTCCTTTCCGCACCTGCCAGTCAGAGATCCAGTGGATAGTAACCACTGAGAAGATTAGGAAAGAAAATGTAAAAGGAAGGGCTGGGGATTTAGCTCAGCGGTGCCGCTGCCTGCCTTGCAAGTGGAAGGTCCTGAGTTCGATCCCCAGTGCCAAAAGAAAAGAAAATGTAAAAAGAAGACAAGGCAAAAGCAATTTCTTTAGGGGAAGAAAAATGAGATGAAATAAAGCCCAGTCACCCTGTTCCTTGTTTGGGCTGGAGGGTGGCGTCCTGGTTGCCCAGCAGGAAGTGGCATGCTGGGAGGCTCCAGGGGAGCTGCTCTGGGAGAAGACCCCAACATGAGTAGCTGGAAGCCACCAAGTGAGCCAGCAGGTAAGATGTAAAAAGATTAAGAGGAGTAGGAGAGTTTGGAGAACAAAGAGCCAGGGCTGGGCCTGGGTCCCCAGGGCTGGCGGGGCCCTGCAGCCTGAGGATGGGGCACCAGGAGGGCTGGGATCATATCAGCTCCCGAGTTAGAGGAGCGTGGCAGAGATGTCCCCTCAACAGCCCATCACAGCTCCCGGAGTCCACCACAGCCCGTTCTTCCTGTGGGGTTAGCAGTGGCCCCTGGGATGAGTCTCCAGCAGAATCTGCACCCGGTGCTTCCGCTCCAGCTCAGCAGCCCTCCCTGGAGAGCCTCCTCTGTGCAGGGCTTAGTAGGAGACGGGAGCCGGTGCTGTGATGAGCCCATTGACGGAGCTGAGGCTCAGGAGGGTCTGTGACTTGCCAGGGCCACAAGGCAGTGAGTGCTTCCATTCTTCCCATCTTCAGGCTGCCTTTCTGACAGCGCTCAGCAGACGACCCAGGAGCGGGCAGGGAGGGCAGGAGAGCAAAAGACGGGGCCTAGGATCATTTTCAAAGACAAGGAAACAGGCTCAGAGAGGGGAAGCAACTTACCCACTAGTCCAGGGCACTGGATTTAATAAATAACATTACAGGCTGCTAGTCCATCTAACATTATAGAAAACTACTTATGTGCATGGGATATACTTATATGAACTCAATGATTTGTCCTGTATTTTCATCCCCTCCCCTGTGGCTCTGGAAAGAACTATGGTGTGGGTGGGTGGGGGGTCAGGGGTGAGAGGTAAGGAAGGGGCTGCTCTCTTTTTTTTTTTTTCCTCCCATGGGAATGTGAGCCTCAACTATCACCTAGGGACCAAGATCACAGCTCCTGTGAGAAGGCCAGGCCCCCCAACTCCGTCCCAACACTATGTCCCCCCTATCATCTCTGTGGCAATCTGAATTCTAGGGTCTCTCCCTGCCCTGCCTTTTCTATCAAGATTGGTCACTGTGTAGCTGGGTGTGGTGGTACACACCTGTAATCCCAGCCTTTAGGAGGCTGAGGCAGGAGGATCACCATGAGTTTAAAGCCAACCTAAACTACATAGTGAGATTCTGTCAGAAAAAAAGAAAAGATTGGTCACTGTGGGCCGGAGGAAGAGAAGATGGGTTCCCAATTCTTCTAAGCATCGTGGGAAAAATCAACACCTGGGTCTCAGTTTCTCCATCTTTAGAGTGGCGGGGGTGGACCAAACCAGAGAGTTGGCCAGGAGTGACATTGCTGAGTTGCGCCCTACCTGCTGTGTGATTGGGTGGACAGGGTCCGCATTTTCACAGATGCCCCATGGGAACTGAAAGAGGCATCCCACCCCTTTTGGGGTGCTGTTAGTAACTTAGGGCCTCTCCAATCTTGGTGCGATGGCTGCGCCCTCCTGGACCTGGGGCATGACCTTTCAGCATTTGACTAGCAGGGAGAAAGGCTTTAGCCATGCCTTGACCAGGGCGACAAGGCCAAGTTGGTGGGGTGGGGATAGGAGGGAGGGAAATTCACAAATCTCCCTGGGGCTGAGGCCATCTCTAACTCTGGACATCAGATATACTTCTTAGATCTGTCATGGCTCCTGCCTGGCCCCTAGATTTCCCTACAAGGGGCCTGGCAAGGTGACTACTGCCATCCTCCATTTACTGCGGGAGAAACTGAGGCTCAGAGAGGCCGATGAGTTGCCTGTGTCACAGCAGACCGGTCCCGGCAGCCCCGCCAT